CGAGTCCACACCTTCCTGTACCTACAACGTTCCATAATTAACGTACCAGAACTTAAAACTGGCCACGTATATGTGACGTTGCATAAGCACATTACAGTCTCGTTATTTTTGCGAAGTTATCGTTTAGGTTGGTTCTACGTTCCTGGCACGTGATATTTAAGTCAAATGTAACGTTCTTTGAACATCTGTGCGAGTCCACAACTTCCTGTACCTACAACGTTCCATAATTAACGTATCAGAAATTTAGATTGGCCACGTATTTATGACGTAATGTAAGTACGTTACATTTTCGTTATTTTGGCGAAGTCATCGTCTAGGTTGGTTCCACGTTCCTGGCACGTGATATTTAAGTCAAATGTAACGTTCTTTAAACATCTGTGCGAGTCCACACCTTCCTGTACCTACAACGTTCCATATCAACGTTACCAGAAATTTAGATTGGCCACGTATATATGACGTTATGTGAGTACGTTACATTTTCGTTATTTTGGCGACGTAATTGTTAAGGTCGCTACTACGTTCCTGACACGTGATATTTAAGTCAAATGTAACGTTCTTTAAACATCTATGCGAGTCCACACCTTCCTGTACCTACAACGTTCCATATCAACGTTACCAGAAATTTAGATTGGCCACGTATATATGACGTAATGTAAGTACGTTACAGTTTCGTTTTTTGGCGACGTAATTGTTAAGGTCGCTACTACGTTCCTGACACGTGATATTTAAGTCAAATGTAACGTTCTTTAAACATCTATGCGAGTCCACACCTTCCTGTACCTACAACGTTCCATATCAACGTTACCAGAAATTTAGATTGGCCACGTATATATGACGTAATGTAAGTACGTTACAGTTTCGTTATTTTGGCAACGTTATTGTTAAGGTCGCTACTACGTTCCTGACACGTGATATGTAAGTCAAATGTAACGTTCTTTAAACATCTGTGCGAGTCCACACCTTCCTGTACCTACAACGTTCCATATCAACGTTACCAGAAATTTAGATTGGCCACGTATTTATGACGTAATGTAAGTACGTTACATTTTCGTTATTTTGGTGACGTAATTGTTAAGGTCGCTACTACGTTCCTGACACGTGATATTTAAGTCAAATGTAACGTTCTTTAAACATCTATGCGAGTCCACACCTTCCTGTACCTACAACGTTCCATATCAACGTTACCAGAAATTTAGATTTGCCACGTATATATGACGTAATGTAAGTACGTTACAGTTTCGTTATTTTGGCAACGTTATTGTTAAGGTCGCTACTACGTTCCTGACACGTGATATTTAAGTCAAATGTAACGTTCTTTAAACATCTATGCGAGTCCACACCTTCCTGTACCTACAACGTTCCATATAAACGTTACCAGAAATTTAGATTTGCCACGTTGATATGACGTAATGTAAGTACGTTACAGTTTCGTTATTTTGGCGACGTAATTGTTAAGGTCGCTACTACGTTCCTGACACGTGATATTTAAGTCAAATGTAACGTTCTTTAAACATCTGTGCGAGTCCACACCTTCCTGTACCTACAACGTTCCATATTTAACGTTGCTACAACTTGAGACATATATTCTGACGACGTTATCACAACGTAAAATTGTTAGCTGGGTAGGGAATAGATCGGTATGTTAATAGTATATGTTACTTGCAAATTTGTCAACCCCTATAGATCTAATTCTGCCTATAGTTAAAGTTGTCCAAAACTAGGCAACATTGGTGACATCCCAATTGAAAAAAGCCTATGGAAAATCATCTCCAATTATCACCTTACTTACTATTGATAATTAGTTGAAAGTTAGGTGTAAAAATTCACATGCAAATGAGCTAATTATCAACTTAATTAACGCTTAATTTGCAACTTAATTAATGATTAACTACCATCAATATGCAAATGAGCTATTTACGTAAATTAGTTGAAAGTTAGTTGTAAGTTTGATGTAAGTTAATCTCTAATTATCACCTAACTAACTATTGATAATTAGTTGAAAGTTAGGTTTAAGTCAGATTTGTGACATCTCAAAAATGACTCGCTTCTTTTTTGCTTCTCTTCACTCGGAGATTTTTGCTTCATCTTGAACTATTTTGTGACGGAATATTCATCTTAATTAGGATATTTCAGAACAGACAACATTGAACTTGAACTATTGAAATTCCACAGCAAGAGGAGGGAAAACCCCATGATTCAATTGATGACATACGATTTCCTCCTTCGCACACCTCCTTTTGTCGAAAACGTACCCTCCATCTTGGTTTTCTAAGTTTTCAAATTGACCTAGTTTTAAACCAATCAACGATCGACTCGCTAAACCAATCAGCGACGATGTCATCTCAATACAGATTTACATTATAAGCGTATGTCAACTTTGAACCCTGGGGTTTCTCCCCCTCTTTTTTCAAGCTATTCTATTGTGAAAATTTTTAAGATTCATGAAAAGCATGTGAAAACATCATTATTGCCATCAACAACTAAAATCAGAACACAAACATTAGACTATAATGTTACATAATAAGGACGTAACAGATATAATCAAAAATATGTTTTGAAATGTCTTTGATCTAACAATCATTATTTAGAAGAGCACATTTGGATTACTTGTGAAATATAGGTAACCCATGTTAGTACCTAAATTGCATTCTAGGATTAATATTATATGATCTGATTTTTAAATTCATAAACATTTCAGACAGAAGTGTGAATAAGATTTAACATACATTGTATTCATGTTCTACATACCCTTATAATAATGTTGACCAAATTTCATGGTAGTATACGCACCATTCACGTTGTAATTCTCAATTTTATGAGAGAAATATCTCTCACATGTTTTCTTTTTCCACCATCTTGAAATTAAATTTAGGGGGTTTGTATTTCTAAATCATGGGCCTAATTTACGACTAATTATCATTATAATAATCCTATATGTTAACTATCAACCAATAATCTACTTCAGAACAAAAACGTTTTAATTTACTATCACCCTCAAACATTTCATATCTTAATTATCAACTAAAAATCATAAATCAGCATTATTGTAAGTTAATTTACGTTGAACTTGCTACTGATAATTAGGCCATAATTATCATTGATTTAATTAACGCTTAACTTTAATTCCAATTGCCAGCAGAATTGTTGATAATTAGTTGTAAATTAGTTGGTAATAAGTTGGTAATTAGTTTTATTTTTCAATTGGGATGTTGCGCCCCCCCCCCTGGCAAGAAATTCTTTCAAAATCATGCAGTTTTTCATCATTCTGAGCACTTTTCGCATGATTTTTTGGCATTGTATAAAAACTCATACCTCATACACACCTACCCACGTACGTTGGACATGATACTGTCTTTGAAGTATTCAATTTTAAAGATCTTAGTTTATTAAATCTTAGTTTATGATGAATTATAGATGCATTTGTAACAACCCTTGATAGCAAGTTGCTACTACAGCCCAGCTGGGTTCGATTCCCAATCGGGGCATTGACTTTAGCACACTTTCTTTCAATTTCTTTATCTGGCTTGTTGGACCTATGATCGCGGTCGTTAGTTGGTTATTCCCCTGGGGCGCCCTCGGGTCATTACATATTACAATGCAACCATACGCCTTTATTTACGGATCTGTCATCCGTCTATTCATAAAATAAAGCCGGAGTTGTAGAAATGTTAATAATTAGAGCTATTTTGAGATTTAAAAATCTTTAAAATTGAACCCTTCAACTGTTCAATGACTGTATTATGTCCCACGTAGGTGGGTAGGTGGATATGAGGTAGGAGGTTTTTTATACAACTGTACAAAGCCTGATTTTTTTTACCAAAACTGTCAAAAAGCTCCCACCCCCTTGGAAAAAACTTGGCAAAAACTCCCCCTTGGTAAAACTGCCCCCCCCCCGCCCGGTAAATCCTGGCTACAGGCCTGATGTACGTCTATTTAAAGAAAGTATCAACAAAAGCTCTGGTTTGTTCTTGTACTCTAAAAGTCATGGGAATATTTATTTACACAATATATTCAACAGACACCTATATTTCATGACAATATACCATATGGTATTTCATTACAATATACCATATAGTATTTCACAATATACCATATGGTATTTCATTACAATATACCATATGGTATTTCATTACAATATACCATATGGTATATGGTATAAATACATTGTACGATTGTAAGCATTTGTTTACTAGAGAAAAGGTCATATGTCAGTTTTCCATAATAGTGATCTTTGGCATAAGAATTATAACTGTAGAGCCAACCAAATATGCAACACGTACGTCGAATCAAGAATATAATCTTCACATCAAGTTTCTGCCCTTCTCTCTTTGTCTTACTATCTTGCATTTCATTCCCCACACTTATGGTAAAAATGGGAGGGGGAGATATCGGGACATGGAACTATATATTACATGTACTTATAATCTGATTTGATTTCAAGGTATTTAAACATAACACATGGTACTACATTACATCAAACAAGCACCTCTTTTAGTACACTGTGTCATTCTTTTTTCAGATTATCTTTGAAATATAAAGCACATGATTGTAAAAATAAGTAGGACTAATATTTAGACTAGTTACAATTGATTTTATTTTATATTCTCTGATTTTTTACCCTTTTGAAACTATATTAATTTTGAAACTAACAATATTTACAAATTCACATTTCTAGTAGAAACATCTAAACTATAGTTCTATCAAAAAGTATAACTGTGATAATATAACAATAAATACCACAATTTTAAGAATGGTTTGCAAAGTTATCTATTTGGTCACAGTTCAGTCCATCTCCCAGTCTACTAACTATATGTACTGTACAGTATAGTTATGAACAAAAATCTCAATTTTTATCTGCTGCAGAAAACTGCATAAAAGCATAAAGATATATCACAATATTGCAAGATGTATTACAACTTTAATACATATTCACATATACATTTGAGGTTTATAGCAAATATTCACATATTTACAGAATTTACACAAATATTGATTTTGTCTTAATATTGCCTCGGGTCTCGCCGCCGTGTAGGCGACATTGACCTTGTCCTTGTTCTTGATCTATGTGGGCTGGGACTCCTACTCCTAGTTCCCAATGTCCTTGTTGCTTCTATGTATCCAGACTTAAATCCATCTTCCATATCTTCAAGAGCGCTATCTAGAGTCAACGTTGTAAAGGCATGGGTTTTATTGGCCAAAACAAGTTTCTCAAGTCGTGAGATGATTTCATAGTCAGGCACCGCAAGGGAATTAACTTCTAAGCCAAGCATACGTGCTATCACAGATCTCATGTCAAGTAGCTGAAATAGAACGCAATTTCATTATAATGACATCTATATTTAATCCAATAAGGAAGTAAATGGTAATCTTTAATGCCTCTTGTATAACAGGGCATTAACATGCAAAATCTAACCACCTGCCATTTGTTACAGACACAGCCAAACACTGACTGCCGAACACCATCCACAAAAATGTTGGAGACTATAACTATCATAAAAACTTTGAATCCCATACCTGTCTCTCCCGTTTTGTAATCTCGTCAAGAGCTGCCTTGGTTGTTGCGAGCTCACTGCTCAACTGACCAATCGTGTAGTCTGCTGTTTGGCTGGTACCAACTTTCTCCCCTTCAACCATGTCGATATCTTGTTTGAGATTATGGATTTTCTTCGCCTGTTTTTGGCGTACTCTCTCGAGCCTCAGAACTTTCTCTTCAAGGGTTTCAATTTCTTTGCTAGCCTCAAGAGTTTCAATCTGAAATCATTATGGAAAAGGGTAGAGAAAATTTGATGGAGACACCATTATGCAAAATATAGTATAAAAGATTGGAATCAGCAAGGAATGAAATACACATGCATGTAGTTAATAATCTAAACTGTATGGAAATCAATCAACATTTTCTCATACTTGTGATTCTAAGGTTTAAGGATTTCAGATATTTGTGCTATTCTTGGTGATTCTTGATTTTTAAATGTTGCCCTTTGTGCCTTCACTTTATTTTCTAAAGCAATAGCCAGATATCAGACAATGCACCAGAAAATAGCCTAAATGCACCAGAGACACTCACAATGAACCTAAATTACACCTACCCTATAGTTACTACTGTCCATGAGTCTGGCTTTTAGATCCCTAATTTCCTGACGAAGTTCATTTATTTGCATTTTGTATTTCTCCACTAGTTTCTCCAATTTTCTCGATCGCAGACTTTCATCATCTTTTTCCTGTTCTAGCTCTGACCGTCCCATGACCCTTTCTTCCAACTGTTGAATTTTCTTGCGTAGAAGATCGTTATGTAGGTCTTTGCTCTCAAGTTGATCCTTGAAGCTCTTGATCTTCCTCTGTAGGTTATACACATGTGTGGTTTTATCTGCAAGGGCATCCATCTCCATGTGCTGAAGCTGTTCTGCCCTGGCGATGATTGCATCACCGCTCATGTCAAATCCAACATCAGCTGATATTGTGTCGACTTTCATTGCACTCGCAACTCTCTCCATGAATTTCAAGTACTATAAGAACAAAGGGAGAGACTTAGATTTTAATTTTAATGAAGAAAATATTCATCAAAATATGTGTTGAGCACACAATGAAGTTACAGTACATACAACAGTTAAAGGTGATTTTTTTCACTTTTACAAAAATGCCATTTGTTTTGAGGAATCTAGTTACTATATGGAATTATTTCCATTTGAAGATTCTTCCTCTAATTCTGTCTGTTGTTTCATTTGTTCTAGCTTTTTCCAGTAATAAAACCACGATATGGTTGAACTATGTCAGTGGTCTCCCCAGCATTAAAGCAAATGGGTGCAGCACCCACCTTAAATTTTGAGAACAGCCTTGCACCAACCTGAAAGTCCATTTGCACCCACTTCCACTTTAAAATGAGAAAAATCATGAAAAATTGGCATATTTTGACCAATTTTGGTCCGAAACGTGAAAATTAGAATTTTGCACCCACAAAAAATCCTTGGGAGATCACTGTATTTCATTATATTTCAAAACATAACATTAGTTTGTCTTATACCCTATGTTTGTCAGTTCTCAACCCATCCTTGAGTGCATCTGTCGCTGCAATATCATTCTCTGCATGATGAAGTCTGTCTTCCATATCTGCAGCATCATTTTGGGCTTGACGGATTTTACGTTCCGCTGATCTCTGCATTTCAATCTGCCTCTCCAATTGTTCTGTTAAGTTACGGACCTTTTGTTCTAGCATGTCGATGTTCTGAAATTCAAACGGGATATACTGAAAGCCTATGAATAATTTATGAATTTCATAAAACAAGGCTGATTTTAAAGAATTTATTGAGAAAGTTACATCTGTTTAAATGTAAAATCATAATCATTTGGTCTTACGGTGTTTCGGTGTGTAACTATGGTTTTTGCATATTTCTAAAAGTAAATATTCAAATAAATTGAAAAAACTTACAGCATCTTTATCTCTTGCTGATGTAACAAGACTCCTAATTCTATCTTTAATTACATCTTCACATGGGGCCCCATGCCCATGTCCATAACGATCACCCAATATGGACACCAAAGATTCCTTCAGGGACGTAAACTGTGTGAAAGCATCACGAGCCCTGTAGTCTTTTTCTTTGATCTCTCGATCTAGTGTAGACATATTTTGATCTCGATTTTCGAGTTGATCTCTAGCGTTGCGCCATGCTCTTTGACTTGCTTCAAGTCGTTCATTCAGTGCTTCAATTTCCCGTTCTAGGTCAATTCGGGACGCCAATGCATTATCAAGTTCAACTCTCATATTGGTGACATCAGAGTTGATATATTTGTAAGTTTTTTGTTCACGGCCGACTTCTGACACAAGCCTCATTATGGTTTCCCGACTAGCTTTCGTCTCGAGTTCAGTGTTTTGGAGGGCTTCTTGGAGGGTGACCATTTTGCCTTTGAGTATGGCATATTCCTGAACAATCTCAGAAAGCTGAAAAGTTCAAAAAATCAGATAATTTTTATAGAATGCAATAAAGTATAACTTTATGGAACAACAGTAAAACCTGTGAAAATGGAATACCTTTGGCACCTCTAAAAAGTATTCCTCATGGGAGGTGTTCCAGTTAAGGGGTTTATTCAACATTAAGTCAATCAGCCATGATATTGTTAATAATGTTTCCATTACAGAGATGTAACACTTAGAGAGGTGTTCTACTTGAAAGCTTTTACTGAACTCTTTATAGAAGCATGTAAACTATATGTGGGGGGGGTGTATAGAGGGTCTTGGAAATGCATATACAATATTTTTCAGCTCTCTTATACCATATACAATATTTTTTCACCCCTTTTATACAATATACAATAATTTTGAAACTGCTTTTGATTAAAGTTTGGATATTTATAAGGAAATAATATTAGGAGAGAATCCATGTACTATAAAAGTAAATGTATTATTATAAGGGAAATAGACTCCACATACATACCACAATGATTTCATTTATTACATTATGAATAAGACACCATTCGGGTACATCTGCATGTTCAGAAAAGCTGTGACCACATTTTATTTTCAGGTAAACAAGTTGATTTAAAACACATTTATGATATAAGATTCATGACTTATCTTTAGTGATTTCACAACCTACTTTGACCAAAAAACTAACTTTAACATTTCTGCAATTTGCATGTATGGTGCCTTTAGTAACTTCGCCAATTTATAACATATCATGGATCTTTTGGGAAATATTGTATTTGAGATCTTGGTATGTCCATTGTACATGTTACTTGCAATTTTGTCACCCTCTGAAGATTTCGTTCTGCCTGTACGTAGTTAAAGTGGACGAAAACTAAGCAACATTGGTGACATGTACATGTATTTATGTCATAGATTTATATTACAAAAGGAAAATTGATATATGTGGGCATGAAAAATTGAATTACTTATTTGGTCAAGAAACTTTTTCTATACTTTAAAATAAACAAGACTTTGGACTCTGCATTGCAAGACAATAAATAAAAGAAACAAGACTCAACCGCTTCAAACGAGTCGACGAATGACTTATCTGAAAAACGGTGGGAAATTTAAATAAGGTTGACCCAAATTTTGGAACGACTATAACTCTATCAATACCAATGTAAGTTCCCAGAGGATCCCACATTGAATGAAGTCTTTGTGTGCCAAATTTAAGATCAACCAACCTCCATTTAAGAAACTTATTCAAGAAATGGAGGGTTGCTATTTGGGGTCATCCTGTATATCAGAAATAAAAAGCTAAACTAAAAATCTCAAAGTTATATTCAAAGTATTCGATTTGTTCCATTCAAAACTGTAAGATAGCATTTTTGATACGCGGACAAAGTGTTTCTGAAGAAAAGATCATTTGTTTGTCATTTGGTACTTATAGGTGTAAATGACGATTCTATAAATTCAAGGTTAAATTTTTGTATTTCCAAATGAGAAAATTGCCAACAAATTCATCAAACCACAAACATTTTAACGTCGATAAATGTGAGGATAAAATTCTATATTTCCATATATACAAATGTCAACTAATATCAACAGACCACAAACCTTTATAAAAAGCAGAGACAATGATAATTGGAATTTATATTGCTTCATTTATCACGAACACATTTTTATGTCAATTAGTAACTTGCAGTTTCCTTAAAGGCCCTTTGTAATATTGCATACTTGAGATACTCCCAACAAAATCCACCATTTAAATGCCCATGGGCGATAAAATATTAGTGGGTGTTATTAACTTTATCTTGTGATATCTGCTTGAGGTATGCTTTTAATATTGTTATATGGTCTCTCACTTTTTGTGGACGGTTTTCTATGGTGTCGTTCGACGTCTGTAACAAATGTTAGGTGATGTTTTGTATATTAACGCCTTCCAATATCATCATTGCCATCCAGTACACTTTTCGGCAGGCCTAAATCATCATTCATTAGAGCAAATGGACCATGAAATACCCCCTGGTGATGAAATGGTTAAAAACTACATGTAACTTCCACGTCAAAATCCTCTCATAGGGAATTTTTATGTATTCAGAGAGATTGAAAAACCAAAGTGAAGCCATTCCAAGATAATGTAGATAATATATACAGTACATATCATCAACATGTGTAGAGCCTTTAAGTTTTAATTATGCGTTTGTTGTTTCTGGAAAATGAGTAATATGCACCTTACTCTGAGTCAACAACAGCTTTTATATATTTATTTAATTCGTGACTTCGTGAATTGCAAGATGGGTTCACTTGGTGAGTAATGCTATATTTCTGGTATTCTGTACATTAAGTTGTAATTGTATTTATCTATTACTATGAATTAAATATAATTGATGTATATACAATAACTAACTAGAGCAATTCATTTAGTGATCTATAATGTGGCATCGTATCTATGATTGCTTACAGTATAGAACACTAAATATATGTTTCTATGATTTATGGCTAATATATGACCTAAGTGTCCATTGCCAAAGCCTTTGCATTGCATTGCCAAATTCAAAAATGCATGTCAAAAAATCCAATATCAGAGCTGCGCAATGAGACCTTCATAGCGTTATTGTGCGAGCTGTATTAGTTGATAGCATCTGTCAATCAGTTTTAGTCTCAAAAAGCTTATCCGTGTACCAGGTCTATTGATTTGTTCCATTGTTCTTTGTATCCAAAATACGATCTGTCCAAAATTTCAGTTTGGAAGGATTAAAGATTTTGACAATCTTTATAAATGTACAGATGTTAATGAAGGTTATTATGAAATCTTTTACCAAAAAATAATGACTGTGTACAATGAATGTTTTCCCTTAAAAAGTAAAATACTGAGATATCAATTTAACAATTCCAAACCATGGTTGTCCAATGCAATTTTCAACTCAATTAAAAGAAAGAATAAACTTTATATCAAATACTTGAAATACCCAACAAATATTAATTTAACTGAATATAAATCATTCAAAAGGATCTTAAGACAACTTATTCGTAATGCTGAACGCCTTTATTACAAAAATAAATTTCAAAAATTAGCTGGAAATCTAAAAGATACATGGAAAACTATAAATGAAATTCTTAGAAGACAAAAACAACCTGGAAAAAAGAGAAAACACTTTATTCACAATAAAAATAAAATCACAGATCCCAAAGAAATTGCCAATCACTTCAATAATTACTTAAAATTACCGAAATAGGTCCAAATTTAGCAATCCAAATTCCTGTATCAAATAAAACCCCGACATTTTTCCTTAAACAGCTAACTGACAATTTTGAACAAAGTATATATCTGAAAAAAGTGACATCAGAAGAGGTAAATCAAACTTTGAAAAATTTAAAAGATTCATCAGCAGGTCATGATCAAATTAAACCAATAACAGTAAAAAATACCTGTGACACTTTAACACCACCATTACTTTTTCTAACTAACCTTTCTTTATCAACTGGCATATTTCCTGACTCATTGAAAATCGCAAAAATTGTCCCAATTTTCAAAAAGAATGATCCTATGCTATTCAGTAACTATCGTCCTATATCATTATTATCCGTATTTTCTAAAGTATTTGAAAAAATTATGTACAATAGAGCAATTGATTTTATTGAAAAATTCAAAATTTTATGTAAAGAACAATTTGGCTTCAGAAGAAACAGATCCACTTGTCTAGCTATTCTCACTTTTCTCGAAAACTTAAGAAAAGCAATGGATACTAAACAATTTAGTATTGGAATATTTTTAGATCTTAGTAAGGCTTTTGATACCGTTGATCATGTTATTCTCCTCTCAAAACTCAAATTTTATGGATTCAAAGATAAGGCATATAATTGGTTTGAAAGCTACTTGACTAATAGAAAACAATTTACATATTTTAACTTTGAAAGCTCCAAACTGAATACAATCACGTGTGGCGTCCCTCAGGGATCGATATTGGGTCCTCTCCTTTTTATTATATATATAAATGATCTTATTTCAGTCAGTAATGTATTTAAATCTTGCAGACGATACAAATTTACTTTGTTCTGATAGAGACATCAATACCCTTACACATAGAGTTAATAATGAGCTATGTACAGTTGACAAATGGTTTAGCAAAAATAAATTATCCCTTAATATCGAAAAAAACAAACTACATGATATTCTTCGAATCAGCAACAGGTTCCTGTTGATATATCCATCAAGATTAGAAATTCAAAAATCAACCGAATTCTTTCAACAAACTTTCTTGGTGTAGTCATTGATCAAAATCTAAATTGGAAGGAACATATACAAAAGATCTCTCTCAAAATTTCAAAAACCTTGGGAATACTTTTCAAAACAAGATCTCTCTTCAGTTTAAAAACTCTTTTGACAATATATTATTCACTAATCTTCTCTCATTTGCAATACTGCATCCCAATATGGGGTACAGCAAGTAAAACAACTTTAGAACCACTTTTAAAACTGCAGAAACGATTTCTTAGAATAGCTATGCAATGCAAAAGCAATAGGGAGCATACATCGGGTTTCTTTGCCCAACTTAAAATCTTAAAGATAGTTGATGTTTACCATCTTAATGTTCTTATATTCATGTTCAAATGTTTAAGAAAAATTGATTTTCCACTTGATCTTTTTGTAATTATTATAAATGCAATATGGACATTCATCATAATTTCACTCGACAAGTGAATGATCTCCATATCTCCAAATTTAACACTAACTATGGAAAGAAGAGTATTTTAGTTCAAGGTGGCCTTATATGGAATGAAACACCCTCTGATATCAAAACCTCAAAAAGCATCCCTATTCTCAAAAAGTCATTTAAAGATTATTACTGCAATCTATACTTGGAGGAGTAGTTCCTTGAACTACTGTACAATCTCATCAGATGTTATCATGTTATACTATGTACGAGGGGGGATTCATAAGTAGTGGGACAAATGCTATAACTTCACTTATATCATTCAGATTTTATTCAAACTTGGAACACAGAACCACAAACATGTGATAATCATTTTGTGAAAATTTCAAAAAGTTACACCCAACTTCAGTAAAGTGAGAGTTCCAATCATGACGTCACAACAGGGTCCATGGAGCACATTGTTTGTCACTAATTACTAGTTAAATACACAAGTCTCAACTGATATTCAGGACGTGATCTAATCCGTGACTTCTAGCGAGTCCTTTTGTGGAGCACATCAATTCTGTGCAAGACTATTGATTCCTTATCCTTCTGGTGCAATCTCACTCTTTCTCAAAGTATTCACCATGACAATCAATGCATTTTTGGCATCTCCTCAACCATTCTAGGTATGCACCCTCAAAACCATATTTTCCAAGATTGATATCTCGGCTCTCACAGCATATTCAGAATACATATACAGAATACCACCTATATACTTTAGATTTTTTTTGATTTCTTCTTTCCCATAGACTTCCAACAAACCTCTATAGGTCTCTAATACTGAAAACTTCTTCAAAGCATTAAATTTAATCACAGCACAGATGTTTATACGTGATTCTTGCTTTTTCATTGCTATTTTAATCAAATTTTGCTCCATCCAAAAAGGACTGAAAATGGCAGTGTCCTGGTGTCACTGCTTTGTGTGACATCACAATAGCAAGATGATGTAATATATGTTACAGTTGTCATGACTACAAGGCTTGAGACAATATGAAACCAAATATTTGAAAATAACTGTCATTTTGAGATATTTATTACATATTTTTTTTGATCAAGCGCTTCATTTTTTAACTGCTCCGTTAACCCCTACTTTTGGTTACCATAGCAACCATTGTTGCTAGGGAACAAAATGAATTAAATTGAAATTTCACCAAACAATGCCTTATATCCTAGTCCGTTCATGTGCCAAATATGGTTGAGATATGTACACAGGGACTTGCTGCCTCAGAAAAGTCCCACTACTTATGAATCCCCCCTCGTATATATGTAATATTGAAATTTGTACTATTTCTTTACACATTTTTATTGCTTGCACCTGTTATTGTAGAAGAGACCTTTAATCATTTCCATTAAATCAGTTTATTTTCTCAATTATGTACAATATCATACTTTACACAATTACATGTACACTTCTCATAATATTTCACAAATCATTGTAAATACCATTATGTGGCACCTAATACTCCCTCTTGGGGGTCATAGCCACTACAACCTGTAAATATGTTACATTGATTTAATAAAAAAAAAAGATGCAATGATTTTTTTCAGGCCTGTTTTGTGGACTGATATGTTCCTTGGTATTTCTCCTTAATGGGACAGAAGTTTGGTGTAAAGAAGAAGGTATCAACAAGATAAAGTATCTCAACAAGTACAAACTGACTGAGATGTTTCTTCAGGTTAGACCAAAAAATATCCAACCCCTTCTTGAAGCCACTACAAAGGTTGCCAAAGAATATATCACTAAGATTCTTGGTACAGATAAAGATGAGCACGTAGTTGAAAAGTTAATTACAAATACGAATAGAATTGGCAAACGTCTGAGCCCGTTTTGGGAACAATTGGAAGAATGGAAAACATTGAGAATTCAGCTTTCGGATGCTATCGACAATTTTATACAAACTGTGTTTGAAGACGCAGGTGAAACATTCGATTCTATCTTTTGGCTTATTGATTTTCACAAACATTTGTTTTTGAAAGAAAGAGAGGGGGTTACTTACATAAATGATGATTTGCTAAAGAGTCTTAAAATTACAAAAGACTATAGAAAACGTTTCAACAAACTGTTCAAAATCACTCCAGATTTAAAACAAATGAAAGAGGCTGAAATACTTAAACAAAATTTTAGCCAATTCTATAAGGTGACCAAAAAGCTTCAGAAATTGACAAACTGGATCGTCAAGGTCATCCTACAGTTGATGATCCCTGATGGAACAGAGAACATGGGTATGTTAAAGTTTACTGTTATCACACATTTTATGATTTTATCATATTATCACTATTACGAGTATTTAGTATGCCTATAAAATTGAGTCCAGGAATTATGTCTAGGAATTATTTTTTGTTCGCATCACAAATGTCTGCATAACAATTTCTTTACACACTGTGTTACAAATAGTATTTTGATTGTGTAATTACAGGGTTTAACAATTGCAATGCAGAGTCTAAAGGGGTTAATCTTATAAGGACAGATGACGGTGCGAGTTTCTTAGCAGTGTGTGATGCGGAATGGCTTGTTGTGGCTCAAAGGTTTGATGGAAGTGTAAACTTCACGAGGTATTATGAAGATTACAGTATTGGCTTTGGTGATCCCCTTTCAGAGTACTTTATTGGACTTGATAATTTTGTCTCTGCGGCCTCACAAGATATATATACGTTGCGTTTTGAGTTGACAACATGGGAAAATGAAACCAGAACGGCCGATTATATGACTTTTGATGCCACACCTTTAGATTATGCCGATGTAGGTTATACACCACCCTGGTATAGGTTAAGAGTAAGGAATTTCCAAGGCACAGCTGGGGATTCCCTGTACTATGTCAAATATAATGATAGCGGCTTTATCCCATTTACAGCTACCGGAAAATGTTTTAAGGAGGAGATAGGATGGTGGTGGGGTTATTGTGGTAAAGCTAACCTATTTGGACGATATAACCACGGACCTGAATGTAATAAAGCAATGGACTGTATGAGTTGGCAAGCATGGCCAGACCAACTTCTAAATGAAAAGGATAATAAGTTTTATTCATTTAAAGCTATGCGAATAATGATACGTCCACTGCCCATTGAAGCCCCTCCAAAATGTATAAAAGGGGTTGCTAATGAATTTAACGCTGCTCAAAGAAGTGATAGCGATAACAAGCTTCTTGCAAAATGTGAAGGACAGTGGTTGGTTGTTGCTCACAGGTTTGACGGAAGCATTGATTTCAATCGCACATGGAATGAATATAAAGCCGGATTTGGTAACATCTCTGGAGAGTTCTTCATAGGTCTTGAAACTCTGTTTAAGTTAACATTTAGAAATACATTCATGGTCCGCTTCGAAATGATAGATAACAGTGGTATAATGACTTATTTTGAGATTGATAGCTTCGCTATTTTAGACGAAAACAATCATTTTGGGTTTTGGTATTCTTTTTATGAGTCAACCAGGGGAAATGGAAGCGACCTTAAAATACCTTCTGGAAAATTCTCAACTTGGGATAGTGATAATGATGGCAATCCTGATATATCATGTGTACAGCAAACAGGTGTACCCTTTTGGCATTCTGTGGTATACAGAGACAAGCAATATCAGTGTAAAACACCATGGCCATCATATATCTTTGGACAATTCAAATTCAAGGATATGAAAATGATGATAAAACATGTTGAAACGCGGTGTGGTGAACGAAAAAGTGGCATCAATGACATACATCCCTTGGGTGGATCGTCATTCAAAGCAAAGTGTGAGGAAGACTGGCTTATGGTTGCTCACAGATTTGATGGGAGTGTTGATTTTTATCGTACTTGGGCTGAATATAAAACTGGTTTCGGTGATCCATCGGGAGAGTACTTTATTGGCCTTAATAACCTGTTATCTTTGTTTACTGCAGATAGAAATTATGTGCTAAGATTGGAATTCACAACATGGGATGGGCGAACTGAGACTGCAGAATACTACGTATTTCGACTCGGCTGGGCAAGTGAAACTGCCATTCGACTTGAGGATTTTCGAGGTTCTGGAAAAGATGTTATGTCAACTTCCCATTATTACCATTATACTTATGATACCATTGATGACTACCCGTTTTCCACTTGGGATCACGGGGATGATCCTTTGACAAACTGTTCTGCATTACGCAGAGGTGCCTGGTGGTGGTACAGACCAGCAGGAAGTTCTGAATACTATTATGAAAGAGGTGTGGATTACAAGGACCAAGATGGCTGTGGATTTACCAACCCATTTGGACGATATATGAATGAATCAAAATGTGACATAGAGTATGGATGCATGAGCTGGTTGGGTTGGCCTGGGGAGCTTTTCAGTGAAGCTGAGCGGAAAGCAAACAAGGATCTTCACAATGGCTGGTATTCATTCAAAGAGATGAAATTCCTGATACGTCTAAGAGAACCAAATTGGTTAAGGCATTGGGCCGGCGTATTAATGACAAGGCCTTGGGCCATACAACAATTTGGCTAAAGGGCCTTAAATTTTAAGGCTTTTTGGCATTTTGGTCACCAATTTTGCTAGAGACTATTTTAAGGTTATTTAGCATTTTGGCTAAAGGGTCTTATATTTCAAGGTTCTTTAGTATTTGTGGTGATGAGAATGCTAAAGAGTCATAAAATTTAAGGTACTTAAGCAAAATTAGTTACAAAAATGCTAATACAAAAATACAATGTGGGGAAGGAATGATTGATATTTGAAAAATAACATGTGACTATTGATGACTGCATCAAAATTCGGAACATACGGACCAACCTTAAATAAATTCATGATTTTTCAAACAAAAAACTTCAAAAAACACTTTTGAAATAAAAAAAAGGTTTTACGTACCACATTCTGATAACATTTGGCTGGGCATAAGCCGAAGTGACCCAAACTTTGAATGGAGCCGTTAACATCTCCAACATATCAGAATCTTTCAGGAGATATTGTAGATCATAGGGAATAGATCGGTATGTTAATAGTATATGTTACTTGCAAATTTGTCAACCCCTATAGATCTAATTCTGCCCGGCTATAGTTAAAGTTGTCCAAAACTAGGCAACATTGGTGACATGTTGCGCCCCCCCCCCCCTGGCAAGAAATTATTTCAAAATCATGCAGTTTTTCACCATTCTGAGCACTTTTCGCATGATTTTTTGGCATTGTATAAAAACTCCTACCTCATACCCACCTACCCACGTACGTTGGACATGATACTGTCTTTGAAGTATTAAATTTTAAAGATCTTAGTTTATCAAATCTTAGTTAATGATGAATTATAGATGCATTTGTAACAACCCTTGATAGCAAGTTGCTACTACAGCCCAGCTGGGTTCGATTCCCACTCGGGGCATTGACTTTAGCACACTTTCTTTCAATTTCTTTATCTGGCTTGTTGGACCTATGCTCGCGGTCGTTAGTTGGTTATTCCCCTGGGGCGCACTCGGGTCATTACATATTACAATGCAACCATACGCCTTTATTTACGGATCTGTCATCCGTCTATTCATAAAATAAAGCCGGAGTTGTAGAAATGTTAATAACTAGAGCTATTTTGAGATTTAAAAATCTTTAAAATTGAACCCTTCAACTGTTCAATGACTGTATTATGTCCCACGTAGGTGGGTAGGTGGATATGAGGTAGGAGGTTTTTTATACAACTGTACAAAGCCTGATTTTTTTACCAAAACTGTCAAAAAGCTCCCACCCCCTTGGAAAAAACTTGGCAAACCCCCCCCCCCCCTTGGTAAAACTGCCCCCCCCCGCCCGGTAAATCCTGGCTACAGGCCTGATGTACGTCTATTTAAAGAAAGTATCAACAAAAGCTCTGGTTTGTTCTTGTACTCTAAAAGTCATGGGAATATTTATTTACACAATATATTCAACAGACACCTATATTTCATGACAATATACCATATGGTATTTCATTACAATATACCATATAGTATTTCACAATATACCATATGGTATTTCATTACAATATACCATATGGTATTTCATTACAATATACCATATGGTATATGGTATAAATACATTGTAAGATTGTAAGCATTTGTTTACTAGAGAAAAGGTCATATGTCAGTTTTCCATAATAGTGATCTTTGGCATAAGAATTATAACTGTAGAGCCAACCAAATATGCAACACGTACGTCGAATCAAGAATATAATCTTCACATCAAGTTTCTGCCTTTCTCTCTTTGTCTTACTATCTTGCATTTCATTCCCCACACTTATGGTAAAAATGGGAGGGGGAGATATCGGGACATGTAACTATATATTACATGTATAATCTGATTTGATTTCAAGGTATTTAAATATAACACATGGTACTACATTACATCAAACAAGCACCTCTTTTAGTACAATGTGCCATTCTTTTTTCAGATTATCTTTGAAATATAAAGCACATGATTGTAAAAATAAGTAGGACTAATATTTAGACTAGTTACAATTGATTTTATTTTATATTCTCTGATTTTTTACCCTGCTTTTGAAACTATATTAATTTTGAAACTGACAATATTTACAAATTCACATTTCTAGTAGAAACATCTAAACTATAGTTCTATCAAAAAGTATAACTGTGATAATATAACAATAAATACCACAATTTTAAGAATGGTTTGCAAAGTTATCTATTTGGTCACAGTTCAGTCCATCTCCCAGTCTACTTCTATATGTACTGTACAGTATAGTTATGAACAAAAATCTCAATTTTTATCTGCTGCAGAAAACTGCATAAAAGCATAAAGATATATCACAATATTGCAAGATGTATTACAACTATAATACATATTCACATATACGAGGGTATATCATAAAGTTCTCATAATATCTCTCTAATTTTTTTATTTTTCAACATATTCTCATGAAATTTTCATAGAATCTGCAGTATAGAATACTCTATTGATATATCAATAAATATTTGGTATAACAGAAATATTAGATAAGTAATGGTTGCCATAGTAACCGGAAATCAAGGCACCCGGGGCAAATAAAAATAATTGAGATATAATGAGCTTTATTAACCTTGTTTACATACATAATAAACTCTCATAAATTATCAAACACATTAAAATGTTATCTTGAATATGTTGTTGAATGCTTTTACTATAAAATAAATTGATCATGTGAATTGTGTGATGTCATAGGGGATGCTTACATGCTTCATTAGATGTGATACCAGACTCTGAGAATCAAAGCTTAATGATCAGAAATAACTGAGTTAGATAATGCATAGATGCAGGGATCATCAGAAACATAATATTCATACTGCATGATATAAAGTTTAGTTTAGTTCGAAAAATCCTTTGCTCATACTAAAGATAATCTAAAACAAATGTGGTGCAAAGATATCAACAAAATTACACCCTATGTATGGTCTATTATTTATTTAAGACGAACTAAAGTGGAAAATCGACTTTCCTTGGAATATTTGACAAAGCAGTTGTAGTGTCTAACATCACTTCTAATGAAGCATTACAATCATCCATTATGAGATCACAAAATTCACATGACCATTATAATAGTTCAAAACAATCAAGAATACATGGTGCTTAACAATTTGATGTGTTTTATAGTTTATTTGATAACTTATTATGCATTTAAACATGGTTAGTTGGGGCTATTCTTGCACAATTTTTTAATTGCCACGGGTGCCTTGATTTCCAGTTACTATGGCAACCATTTCTTAAATAATATTTCTGTTATACCAAATATGTTTTTATAGATTAATGCAGCATTGTATATTACACATTCTGTGAAAAATTCATCAGAATATATTGAAAAATAAAAAAATTAGAGAGATATTATGAGAACTTTATGATATACCCTCATATATTTAAAGTTTATAGCAAATATTCACATATTTACAGAATTTACACAAATATTGATTTTGTCTTAATATTGCCTCGGGTCTCGCCGCCGTGTAGGTGACATTGACCTTGTCCTTGTTCTTGATCTATGTGGGCTAGGACTCCTACTCCTAGTTCCCAATGTCCTTGTTGCTTCTACGTATCCAGACTTAAATCCATCTTCCATATCTTCAAGAGCGCTATCTAGAGTCAATGTTGTAAAGGCATGGGTTTTATTGGCCAAAACAAGTTTCTCAAGTCGTGAGATGATTTCATAGTCAGGCACCGCAAGGGAATTAACTTCTAAGCCAAGCATACGTGCTATCACAGATCTCATATCAAGTAGCTGAAATAGAACGCAATTTCATTATAATGACATCGACATTTTAATCTAATAAGGAAGTAAATATTAATCTTTAATGCCTCATGTATAAAAGGGCATTAACATGCACAATCTCACCACCTGCCATTTGTTACAGATACAGCCAAACACTTACTGCCGAATGCCCACTGCCGACCACCATCCACAAAAATGTTGGAGACTATAACTATCATAAAAACTTTGAATCCCATACCTGCCTCTCCCGTTTTGTAATCTCGTCAAGAGCTGCCTTGGTTGTTGCGAGCTCACTGCTCAACTGACCAATCGTGTAGTCTGCTGTTTGGCTGGTACCAACTTTCTCCCCTTCAACCATGTCGATATCTTGTTTGAGATTATGGATTTTCTTCGCCTGTTTTTGGCGTACTCTCTCGAGCCTCAGAACTTTCTCTTCAAGGGTTTCAATTTCTTTGCTAGCCTCAAGAGTTTCAATCTGAAATCATTATGGAAATGGGTAGAGAAAATTTGATGGAGACACCATTATGCAAAATATAGTATAAAAGATTGGAATCAGCAAGGAATGAAATACACATGCATGTAGTTAATAATCTAAACTGTATGGAAATCAATCAACATTTTCTCATACTTGCGATTCTAAGGTTTAAGGATTTCAGATATTTGTGCTATTCTTGTTGATTCTTGATTTTCAAATGGTGCCCTTTGTGCCTTCACTTTATTTTCTAAAGCAATAGCCAGCTATCGGACAATGCACCAGAAAATAGCCTAAGTGCACCTAAACAAAACCTAAAATGTACCTGAGACACTCAAAATGAACCTAAATTACACCTACCCTATAGTTACTACTGTCCATGAGTCTGGCTTTTAGATCCCTAATTTCCTGACGATGTTCATTTATTTGCATTTTGTATTTCTCCACTAGTTTCTCCAATTTTCTCGATCGCAGACTTTCATCATCTTTTTCCCGTTCTAGCTCTGACCGTCCCATGACCCTTTCTTCCAACTGTTGAATTTTCTTGCGTAGAAGATCGTTATGTAGGTCTTTGCTCTCAAGTTGATCCTTGAAGCTCTTGATCTTCCTCTGTAGGTTATACACATGTGTGGTTTTATCTGCAAGGGCATCCATCTCCATGCGCTGAAGCTGTTCTGCCCTGGCGATGATTGCATCACCGCTCATGTCAAATCCAACATCAGCTGAGATTGTGTCGACTTTCATTGCACTCGCAACTCTCTCCATGAATTTTAAGTACTATAAGAACAAAGGGAGAGACTTAGATTTTAATTTTAATGAAGAAAATACGGATCAAAATATGTGTTAAGCACACAATGAAGTTACATACAAGAGTTAAAGGTGATTTTTTCACTTAAACAAAAATGCCATTTGTTTTGAGGAATCTAGTTACTGTATGGAATTATTTCCATTTGAAGATTCTTCCTCTAATTCTGTCTGTTGTTTCATTTGTTCTGCCTTTTTCCAGTAATAAAACCACTTTATGGTTGAACTATTATTTCATTATATTTCAAAACATATTATTAGTTTGTCTCATACCCTATGTTTGTCAGTTCTCAACCCATCCTTGAGTGCATCTGTGGCTGCAATATCATTCTCTGCATGATGGAGTCTGTCTTCCATATCTGCAGCATCATTTTGGGCATGACGGATTTTACGTTCCGCTGATCTCTGCATTTCAATCTGTCTCTCCAATTGCTCTGTTAAATTACGGACCTTTTGTTCTAGCATGTCAATGTTCTGAAATTCAAACAGGATATACTAAAAGCCTATGAATGATATTTGAATTTCATAAAACAAGGCTGACATTAAAGGATTTAAAGGGGAAAGTTATATCTGTTTAAATGTAAAATCATAATCATTTGGTCTTACTGTATTTCGGTGTGTAACAATGGGTTTTGCATATTTCTAAAAGTAAAAATTCAAATAAATCAAAAAGACTTACAGCATCTTTATCTCTTGCTGATGTAACAAGACTCCTAATTCTATCTTTAATTACATCTTCACATGGGGCCCCATGCCCATGTCCATAACGATCACCCAATATGGACACCAAAGATTCCTTCAGAGACGTCAACTGTGTGAAAGCATCACGAGCCCTGTAGTCTTTTTCTTTGATCTCTCGATCTAGTGTAGACATATTTAGATCTCGATGTTCGAGTTGATCTCTAGCGTTACGCCATGCTCTTTGACTTGCTTCAAGTCGTTCATTCAGAGCTTCAATTTCCCGTTCTAGGTCAATTCGGGACGCCAATGCATTATCAAGTTCCACTCTCATATTGGTGACATCAGAGTTGATATGTTTGTAAGTTTTTTGTTCACGGCCGACTTCTGACACAAGCCTCATTATGGTTTCCCGACTAGCTTTCGTCTCAAGTTCAGTGTTTTGGAGGGCTTCTTGGAGGGTGACCATTTTGCCTTTGAGTATGGCATTTTCCTGGACTATCTCAGAAAGCTGAAAAGATCAAAAAATCAATTAAATTTTATATATTGCAATAAAGTATAACTTTATTTGTACAGTAAAACCTGTGAAAATGGAATACCTTTGGCACCTCTAAAAAGTATTCCACATGGGAAGTGTTCCAGTTAAGGGGTTTATTCAACATTAAGTCAATCAGCCATGGTACTGTGAATAATGTTTCCATTACATACAGATATGTAACACTTAGAGACGTGTTCTACTTGAAAGCTTTTACTGAACTCTTTATAGAAGCGTGTAAACTATATGTTATTTGACAAAGTCTGACTGATGTGAAAAAATGAGTGAAGAGTATTGAGTACAATAAAAAACCTGTGTATATGTACATCATATTCTTTTTGCTGAGAAAACATTCAATGTTGGTAGGTGTTCACTACAGAGAGGGTAATTAATACAGAAGTCAGTATAGTATGTTTGAAGGAAGGACAACCACTACTAGACACAGATGTACACTAAGACAGGTTTTACTGTATATCATATATGGCATAATTTAAGATAATCATTATACATATCAAGAATATCTAATTTAAGGCAGGAGCTACTAAATTGATGTAAACATGTATTGTTATATTTGTAAAACTATGGGCCTAAGGCCTTTTATTTGTTTGAAATAAACTAAACTAAACTAAACTAAAATGATTGATACATGGACCATTATGGGACATAATTTCAGTCTGAAATCAGCTGCAAAACTCCTCAAAACAAGATTTTCATTACAAAATGGTCTGTTGCTTTGGAAATCTATGTCGATAGTAATAAGTGTTTATAATTACCTTTGAAACCATTGTGTCAGGAGAAGCAGGGACGAACCCAGTGATTTCATCAACTCTTAACACAGAGCTAAAAGAGGCGACCAAATCAGAGTACTTCTTCTCCCAGGTATTCCTATCTTGTTCTGCTATTTCACGCTCTTCAAGATGTGTCCTAACTCTTCCTTCCAACTCAAGGATTCTCTCCTTTGCCTCATTGTTTTCTCGCTGTAGAGATGTTATTGTTATCTCACTGCGATTTGATGCACCTTCAAGGTTACCTGCAGCGGCTTCAACGGCAGCCAATCGGTCTTGGAGAGTTTGGATGAGGGTTTTATTCCTAACGTCACCTTCCCGAAGGTCTGAATTCTCATTACGGAGACTCCTGATTTCGCTGTCTTTGTTATCAAGTTCAGATGCAGCATCACGAAGTTGCTTCTGAAGGTGTTCAACTTTAACATGAAGTGTGGCAACCTCGCTGCGTGCACTGTCTGCAACGTGGCGGTCTACATTCAATAGTGCCTCTGCCTGAAATAACATAATGTCACATACAAATCAATGAAAATTGATACAATGGTAAATTGCCCACCCTTCAAACCATTTTCCTTCTACAGCCTTGGGTTTTCATCTCAATTATCATGATTTAAGAAACTGAGAACTACAATACACGATTTGTAATTCTGTTGTTTACTATCAAATTCATGAAAATATATTGTGAAACCCCAGTCAATGATATACCACCACCACCCCCTCCACCTCCAACTACAGGCATAACTCACATTTTAATAACTGTATCAATTTATTTTAAGTATCATTGATTATAAGTTCAATTTACTCTTGGCCTGCTTTCGAGCATTTCATTAGTAACAGATTTGTATACTTAGCACTATTATCATTTATACATTTGGAATTCAGCAATTAAATACAGCCATGCAAATTGACCATACAATATAGAATTGTGCAAATTGGAAGATGAAATAAAATTCATGCAAAGTATAGTTCACATGATTTTTTCAACAATTTTATTTTTAGTTTAAGAGGAAGATAAAAAAATAATTGAGTCCAGTCAACATTCAAAATCTGAGATATCTTATTTTCAATGAGAACAAACCTTGCAGGGGAGGGGAGTGGTTGGTTTTAAGTGCAAATAAGCAAGAAATATACAACATGCTATATTTCCATATCCATGCATATTACGTGTACCTTTCCAAATGAATTAGACCTTTGTCTGGGGGTGCCAAGTATGGGGTCAGGCAAATAGGCCCCACCTCCATGTATATGCCCTCCTAGTTGGGGGTAAGCCTGTGATCTGAGAGGTTTCAGGATTCCACCTGGTAGTGCAAGCTTTATGTGAAATATATGGGAAAATGTGAATCAATGTGGGAAAATGTGAATATTTGTCAAGATGGGGAAATGTGATTTGATGAAGTGAAAATGTTAATATGTTAATTTACTTTAACCAATATAGTTCTTATAATCATCATATCACACCATTGAAATATATATTAGAATATTGAATTATTAATTCAAATGTTCTAAATATGATTTAAAAATTTATCACCTTTGGCAAATAACACATGCTATATGGCAGATTCAAAAATAATATACCCACATTTAATAAATTAATGACACAATGCCAAATGAACAAACAACCTGATGATGAACTTGACTTTCGGTTTATTTCAATTGCTATGGCAACCAAAGAAATAACTCAAGGAGATAAAAGCAATCCATATTTAGCGACATGAGAATACTAATGCTGTTATCATATCAAAACCATTGCCATAGCAACAGTATTAGTATTGTCAATAAAGGTAGGCAGCAGTTTTGTTCTAGCAAGTGAATTGATATTGATTTCTTGTCTACACTCTGTATGAAGGCTGCAGCGTTGTAGTAATAATATAAAAACCAATGAAAACATCATATGATGTGATATACCATTTTACACGCAATATAAAATAGAATATGAATGCTGGGATAAATATCTTATAATACTCCCTTTACACATTTTGCTCATGGCAACTGAATGAAAAAACTGACCCATTTTAATACCATCGGCAATTTGCAATTTTACTTCAATAGTTATAATGGTGTTTTTAGACTTGCCAATATATGTACTTCAAATTCCTGTAAGGGGAGTAAGGATTATGTCATGGGATAGTTGGATTGTATGTAATAGATATACTTTTTGCTTACCTTCAATGCATCTATTCCTCTTGAACCATTCAGGCCTGTGTTAATTGATGTATTTACACTGAAATAATATGATATGAATTTGTTACTTACATTTGCATATCAGGGTTAAGGGGAAGATTTATGGTAAACATTTAAAAACATCAATAACACAATAGTCTCCCTGGGACATTTTCTTTAGTTGAAGAAGAAATTATTAGACTCCAGATTGAAAATCTGGAGTCTATTGTTTTTGCCTGTTTTCTTTATTAGACTCCAGATTGAAAATCTGGAGTCTATTGCTTTTGCCAGTTTTCTTATTATTATTATTATTATTATTATTTTTCTTCTTATTCTTCCTCCTTACAAGATTTCTCACCAACTAGAAGAACATACTTTAATCTGCTTACATGATCAACTAGGGAATGTATCTGGGATTATGGGAAATTAGGTCAAATTTTTATCTAGGTCAAAGGTCAAGAACTAGGTCAAATCCAGTACTTTGTCACTTTTTCCAATTATCTCGGTCGTCCTTCAATATTTTTGGTTTTTTTCATTGTGTTCCTCATACAAAAGTAGAAAACCTAGGATGATTTAGTTTTTTGATATCTCAAACCGATTTCGAGATATCAGTGTCCGAAAACGAGGTCCAAAAAAAAGTTCTCCGAATCCAATGTCCAGGATATCAGTCTTATAGGAAATTTTCTCAGGATTCCGAATCTGAAAACCAAATTTTGATCTGACTTCCGGTTCAGAAGTTATGGCGTTTTGAAATTTCGAGAAAAATCGATCTGATGGTATCCTGATAGAAAGTCAAGGAAAAAAGATTTTTTTGAAGTGTAAAATATGAGATATAGACTGAGTACAGCTTAAGATAATGAATTCCTATAAAAGAAGGGGACCTCAAAATCTACCTAGTTTCAATATTTGGACACCAAAATGCCTAGGTCAAAATCTAGGTCAAATTCATAGTTTTTCCTTATTTTTGCGATTCTGGCACTACACTTTAATGATTTGCTACAAAAGTTTGTATACAGGTAGATAAGAGTGTGCTAATAGTGATAGCCTTTTGCCGTCAGAAAGTATTTTGACCCACTTTTGAGATATGGTGTCCGTAAAGTAGGTCAAAATAAAAAATTCTCATAATTTAACTTATGAGTTATGAATTAAGGGTAGAATTTTCTCAGGAATCTGAATCTGCAAACCAAATTTCACTCCGACTTCCGGTCAAAAATTCCTACTTACCTAACTACCTACCTACCTACTCGGCTACCTACTTAGCTACTTACTTCTCAGCTACCTACTCAGCTACTTACTCAGCTACCTACTCATCTACTTACTCAGCTACCTACTCAGCTACTTATTCAATTACTTAATCATCTACTTACTCAGCTTGCTACTCAGTTACTTACTCAGCTATCTACTCAAGTAAATCAATCTGGAGTCTTAAATTGAACTTTGTTCAATTTACCAATCTAGTGATTTTTGCTTTCGTATGTGCAAAAAGCAAAAATCCTCCTCACACACGTTCTCACCAACGAGAGATATTTGGATAAATCTACTCATACACGTTGTTAGGGGGCTAGGCGTAGTTGGTGGGAAATTAGGTCAAATCCTTATCTGGGTCAAAGGTCGAAATCTAGGTCGAAATCTGCATTTCCGCTATTTTGGCCTCTCGAGCCTCCTTAAGAAGTCAGAATCGGAGGAAAACTAGCTGGTCGGAAAGACAGTTTTCCGAGCGTTAAAAAAACAGTGAACCAAATTGAAATCCGACCATTAGTTTTCGAGATATACGCGTTTGAAGTTCGCGTACGGGCCACCGTTGCCATATATCTAGACGACACCTGGTATACACTTGGTATACGTATCTCTGCGAACAACAGACATTTGAAAGAAAATAGGCCCGAAGGATGACTAGAGCATTTCTAAAACAACGATTCCCTTCGTCAAACTAACGATTGCGGAATGTAGAACGACACGTACGCTGCTCGAATCTACGTCGAAAGCTCTATATAAACGTCTGGAAGGCCTATTTTTTGAAGGACTATTTTTTGACCTCGACGGATCCGCGAAGCACGAGCCAGGCATTCTCCCCAACTACCTCCCTAGATTCCCCGACCTTTAATCGACCATTATAGGCCCTCAGAGCGTCCGTAGGGCCATTAGCCTCTATACGCGTATGGGCAAATCCTATTATGATTTTTGCTTTCGTATGTGCAAAAAGCAAAAATCCTCCTCACACACGTTCTCACCAACGAGAGATATTTGGATAAATCTACTCATACACGTTGTTAGGGGGCTAGGCGTAGTTGGTGGGAAATTAGGTCAAATCCTTATCTGGGTCAAAGGTCGAAATCTAGGTCGAAATCTGCATTTCCGCTATTTTGGCCTCTCGAGCCTCCTTAAGAAGTCAGAATCGGAGGAAAACTAGCTGGTCGGAAAGACAGTTTTCCGAGCGTTAAAAAAACAGTGAACCAAATTGAAATCCGACCATTAGTTTTCGAGATATACGCGTTTGAAGTTCGCGTACGGGCCACCGTTGCCGTATATCTAGACGACACCTGGTATACACTTGGTATACGTATCTCTGCGAACAACAGACATTTGAAAGAAAATAGGCCCGAAGGATGACTAGAGCATTTCTAAAACAACGATTCCCTTCGTCAAACTAACGATTGCGGAATGTAGAACGACACGTACGCTGCTCGAATCTACGTCGAAAGCTCTATATAAACGTCTGGAAGGCCTATTTTTTGAAGGACTATTTTTTGACCTCGACGGATCCGCGAAGCACGAGCCAGGCATTCTCCCCAACTACCTCCCTAGATTCCCCGACCTTTAATCGACCATTATAGGCCCTCAGAGCGTCCGTAGGGCCATTAGCCTCTATACGCGTATGGGCAAATCCTATTATGATTTTTGCTTTCGTATGTGCAAAAAGCAAAAATCCTCCTCACACACGTTCTCACCAACGAGAGATATTTGGATAAATCTACTCATACACGTTGTTAGGGGGCTAGGCGTAGTTGGTGGGAAATTAGGTCAAATCCTTATCTGGGTCAAAGGTCGAAATCTAGGTCGAAATCTGCATTTCCGCTATTTTGGCCTCTCGAGCCTCCTTAAGAAGTCAGAATCGGAGGAAAACTAGCTGGTCGGAAAGACAGTTTTCCGAGCGTTAAAAAAACAGTGAACCAAATTGAAATCCGACCATTAGTTTTCGAGATATACGCGTTTGAAGTTCGCGTACGGGCCACCGTTGCCGTATATCTAGACGACACCTGGTATACACTTGGTATACGTATCTCTGCGAACAACAGACATTTGAAAGAAAATAGGCCCGAAGGATGACTAGAGCATTTCTAAAACAACGATTCCCTTCGTCAAACTAACGATTGCGGAATGTAGAACGACACGTACGCTGCTCGAATCTACGTCGAAAGCTCTATATAAACGTCTGGAAGGCCTATTTTTTGAAGGACTATTTTTTGACCTCGACGGATCCGCGAAGCACGAGCCAGGCATTCTCCCCAACTACCTCCCTAGATTCCCCGACCTTTAATCGACCATTATAGGCCCTCAGAGCGTCCGTAGGGCCATTAGCCTCTATACGCGTATGGGCAAATCCTATTATGATTTTTGCTTTCGTATGTGCAAAAAGCAAAAATCCTCCTCACACACGTTCTCACCAACGAGAGATATTTGGATAAATCTACTCATACACGTTGTTAGGGGGCTAGGCGTAGTTGGTGGGAAATTAGGTCAAATCCTTATCTGGGTCAAAGGTCGAAATCTAGGTCGAAATCTGCATTTCCGCTATTTTGGCCTCTCGAGCCTCCTTAAGAAGTCAGAATCGGAGGAAAACTAGCTGGTCGGAAAGACAGTTTTCCGAGCGTTAAAAAAACAGTGAACCAAATTGAAATCCGACCATTAGTTTTCGAGATATACGCGTTTGAAGTTCGCGTACGGGCCACCGTTGCCGTATATCTAGACGACACCTGGTATACACTTGGTATACGTATCTCTGCGAACAACAGACATTTGAAAGAAAATAGGCCCGAAGGATGACTAGAGCATTTCTAAAACAACGATTCCCTTCGTCAAACTAACGATTGCTGAATGTAGAACGACACGTACGCTGCTCGAATCTACGTCGAAAGCTCTATATAAACGTCTGGAAGGCCTATTTTTTGAAGGACTATTTTTTGACCTCGACGGATCCGCGAAGCACGAGCCAGGCATTCTCCCCAACTACCTCCCTAGATTCCCCGACCTTTAATCGACCATTATAGGCCCTCAGAGCGTCCGTAGGGCCATTAGCCTCTATACGCGTATGGGCAAATCCTATTATGATTTTTGCTTTCGTATGTGCAAAAAGCAAAAATCCTCCTCACACACGTTCTCACCAACGAGAGATATTTGGATAAATCTACTCATACACGTTGTTAGGGGGCTAGGCGTAGTTGGTGGGAAATTAGGTCAAATCCTTATCTGGGTCAAAGGTCGAAATCTAGGTCGAAATCTGCATTTCCGCTATTTTGGCCTCTCGAGCCTCCTTAAGAAGTCAGAATCGGAGGAAAACTAGCTGGTCGGAAAGACAGTTTTCCGAGCGTTAAAAAAACAGTGAACCAAATTGAAATCCGACCATTAGTTTTCGAGATATACGCGTTTGAAGTTCGCGTACGGGCCACCGTTGCCGTATATCTAGACGACACCTGGTATACACTTGGTATACGTATCTCTGCGAACAACAGACATTTGAAAGAAAATAGGCCCGAAGGATGACTAGAGCATTTCTAAAACAACGATTCCCTTCGTCAAACTAACGATTGCGGAATGTAGAACGACACGTACGCTGCTCGAATCTACGTCGAAAGCTCTATATAAACGTCTGGAAGGCCTATTTTTTGAAGGACTATTTTTTGACCTCGACGGATCCGCGAAGCACGAGCCAGGCATTCTCCCCAACTACCTCCCTAGATTCCCCGACCTTTAATCGACCATTATAGGCCCTCAGAGCGTCCGTAGGGCCATTAGCCTCTATACGCGTATGGGCAAATCCTATTATGATTTTTGCTTTCGTAT